TAAGGGACACTTTCAGCTTCCCAAACTCTGTGGTGTCAAGCTTCCTCATACTGAGTCACTGCCCATCTGATCCAATTTGCGGAGCGCATGACTCTGTCGAGGACGAAGAAGAGGTGGAGGACTCTTCGTCTGACTCCTTTGTCTTTGGGAGTTTAAAACATTTAGCGCACAACTTGCGATCTGTGGGACGTGTGTCCGTGAGATCGTAGTCGGCGTGGTGCCTGGCAAACGGCCAAGAACATGCAGCTCGCCACAAGTAGTGGGGCAGGCGTGGACCTGAGCGACCCACTTTGTGAACCTTCCCGTCCGGAGCAAGGTTTACGACGAACAAAGGGCATGCTGGCACAGGTACGTCAGGTACCAAAGTGTTTGCGGCTTCGCAATCGGCTAAGATTTCAATCTCTTGCGCGGTGAAGTCTGTTGTAGCCGTGCGATTTGCAGAATCCGGCACTTTGGCAAGAATGGCGCGAGTTCGGCTCTTGCAGCTGCCAGGGAGTCTGCGAAGTAGCCTCCCGTGCGAGGCCAAACAAGTGAGATAGCGGTGCTTCACGGACGTACCGAAAGAAGCAATCCGATCCCCATCGACCAAAGAGCTGTATACGCCCCAGTTCAGTGAGCGTGTGTGCAAGGTGTATGGCACCTGTGGCTCTGGCCGAATGACTTCAAACCTCCTGAGGCCTGTGTCCGTGAGGATGGGAAGTTTGAGCTGTTTGCCCAAATGCTCAAACGTGTCGGCCTAGCCGGCTTTGGTCGATGTAGACCCGTCCGGTTGTGGTAGGAGGTGAAGAAAACTGTGGCGTTTGCACCATTCAACTTGGGCAGACATGCGGTGAAAGGGACATAGGCGGTCTTTGCTCTTTTCACTGCACGTGTACACGTGGGTTCTGACGGCTCCCAGAGCTTGCCAATCTGCTTTGCTAGATGGAAGTTTCCAGTGTATCAGACCAGTGCTGTCATCTACCGTGACGTGGGACACATTGGCATAGCTTGCTTCGATTTCTCGAAGGAGCCACCACGATGCCAGCAGTGTTGCCCGGACAGGAAAAGCTGGGCCCCCCATGTGCAATAGCCGGCTCGGTGTGCTGCAGTGCTGCCAGTTTCTTCGTTGGCAGGGGTTGGGCTTGCTTGGCAGGCCCGCGGCCGCGCTGACAAGCTCGCTTGGCTTGTTTTGCTGCCAGGTTGACCTGCACTGATATGAGCTGGGCGGGCAGTTTCCAGATACTGTTCTGTCGAGCTATATCCCGCTTTGTCTAATGCCCCTGTCACTGTGAAGATGAGCTGAGGTGTGAGCACGGACGGTGTCGAGAATCCAGCTGCCGATGCTATTGCCGCCCAGGTTTTCTCATCAAATTGAATGGGCAAACGCGATGATTCAGCTTTTGGCTCGCTTTCCAATGTGTTCTGCGCACTCGTTTGGGTGCAGTGTTGCTTCGTGAAGAGCCAACTTCAGGGAGCCCCTGGAGTAAGGTTTTGGCTCCAGACGGTGGCTCTCCTCCTGCATGGTTGTGCCATGGCTTGGTGGTGCGTGGCAAACCACCGGGCCTTCGTCCAATGGCCGCAAACCTTTCGGTTGAGCCTGGGCTTCTGGCCTCTTTTGGATCGTACAGGAATCGTGAGGGACCCAAAGAGCGTTTCATGCTTGAGCCATCCCTATCACGTCCGCCACTAAGTTTCTTGAGCACGATCCGCTTTAGGAGCTGTTTGACCCGTTGTGTGTGTGTGGATTTGACCAAGCACACAAAGGACTCCCGCGCTTTTCTTTTCGAAGGGTTTGAGCGGTCTCGGGGAGAAGCCAAACTCAGGACCTACTTCAATGGGAACGCGTGTTGCGCCCTGAAGGTTCTCAAGAAAAGGTGGAGGATTGGGGTCATGTTGTCGACTGCGAGGGTCTGCAGTCTTGTTCAGCTTGGTGTTGATGTGTTGGAGTATGGTGAACTCGTATTTCTCGTTCGCTTGGTCCAGTGCTATCTTGCTGGCGACCATCGACAGTTCTGGGGAGCTGGCCTTGCCCTTTGCAATGATGTAGAGGGCGCCAATGTTGTCTGCCTTGACACGTACCACTGACCCAGTCGGGTGTTTGGTGAGCCACGTCCGAGCGGCTAAAAGTAGGCACAATGCTTCCCAGAGTCATGTGTTTCGGGATGCCAGGGATTGCCCCAGTTCGGAGGATGAATTCCGGTGGGATAGGACACGAAGAGAATTCTTTCGGTTCACCTCGTTCCAGCACAACTGCACCCAATCCCCACGTGGAGGCATCCGTAAGGATGATCACTCCCGAGGCCGGACGGAACGCCCGAAGAGTGCGCGCCAGCGGAGTCTGTTTTCCCTCCAGCACGGCTCTGATCCATTCTAGGGCGTGCCTTATGCGGCGAGTGTGCACAACATTTCTGGTTCTAAGGTTAGAACCGTCATTCGTTGTGGCAAGCACTGCCCACAGGGCTCCCAGAAACGGACGCATGAGCGGCGTAATGCCTGCAACGAAGGATAGAGCTCCCGCTAGAGGTTGTAGCTGTTTTCTTCCTACAACCGGTTTTGCCTTTAACAATTACACCCAGCTTGTTGAAGGTCGGTTCGATTCCTACCTTGCACGTTGCCTCCTCGAGCGAGTCCGAAAATGAACAGAATCCTTTGTCCAGCGCATCACGAACAAGTTGGTTGAGGTCTGATTCAAATTCGTTGGCTGAAGGATGATTTTGCCAGCCTTCAAATTCTCTGGCCAGGAGTTTGGCTGCTTCAAGTTCCCACTTCATCGACTCCACCGGCGGGAATATGCCTGTGTTTGGAATAGGTTCCGAGAAACCCAGTGGTGCCCCGGTGTGTAACCAAGAGGCGAGAGTCACTGAGTCCGGATCCCCCGTGGCTTTTCCCCATGCCCAGAAAATCTCGGGTTGAAGTGGGGTACGTGCCGTGGCCGACCAAATGGGTAGACCCTCGATGTCGTTTCCCAACACTTCTAACTCCGAACTTCTCAAGTGGTTAATGAGACGTGAATCCAGTGGTTTTGCCGCTTCGCCGTTTAGGAGGTGGTCAACCTGACTGAGAACGGATTCGTGTGAAGAGTAGTTCTCCTATAGCGTTTCCAAAATGTAGTGATTTTGGTATCTTAGCGGCTGATGTAGCTGGGTTTCGCATTCCTCCTATTGCTGCCTCGTCTTCGATATCTCTGAGCTTCTGAGCTCTATCCAGCAATTGCGGCCCGTAAAAAATTGCCGTGCCCTCAGCTTCGTGAGGGTGCATGCTCTCCTTTCAGAGCAGTGAGCATAGCCGTTGCTCTGGACATGCTGACACTCACTGTGGCTTGGGCCAATGCGTAGTTCAGCTGTGGAGGATACTCTGCCAGTGCTTTGCTGGCTCTCTCCTTCTTCCCCTCGTCGTTTGTTCTCCATCTCTGCACCAAGGATTCGTGTGGTGCTTTGTAGGTGGAGCCGTCCGTTCTCGTCCACTGTTGAACTGGGTGGTTGCATCTGAGGTCTCCGATGCCCCAAAAGTTCATGTGGAACGACATCAGCTTCGTGGGCTTCCGAACTTCTGCTCCAAACCTACATTGGTCAAATTCGGTGATCCACACGTTGAACTCTCTGACGAGGAACTTCAGGGGAGTGGTCTTCCATAGGTCCAGCTTGTCTTTGTGATCTGGGTTCTCGATCCAGAAGGCCCTGCCCGCTGTAGCTTGGATTTCCGCAAGCCTTGCTGATAGCGCGATGAGGCGGTTTGCCTCCTTGAGCTGAATCCTTTCACTTTCGGTCAGCTCTTCGCTTGGCAGCCCATCTGGCTTATCCAAAGATCGCAGAGGTCTTGGGCCTGGAGGTGATTCCCTGAGCGGTGATAGTGTTTCACACGGGGTTGCACATCCCACCACGTCGTACATGCCGGTTTCCGTGTCGGCTAGGATCTTGTCGAGGTAGTGCTCTGACAGCACATCGGTGGGCTCTGGCGCCACCTTGTCGACGATGACCACGATCCATCCTTCTGCTCCGAGGTAGCTAGCCAAGTCCCCGGGTCTGCTCTTGCCGCTGAATACCAACAGGCATCTCGGTTGGTCAGCCCACAGTTCCGGTTCCAGGTTTGTACAGCCGTACCTGTACTTGTGCCACCTCGTCACTTTGGGAAGGTCTCCCACGGAGGAGATGTTCTTTGCAGTGATCCACAGGGGAAAGTCGCTGATCCTTCTCTTGATTCGCAACATTTGATTGATACCCGACAGTTGGTCTGCCGAAGGTTCCACTTCTTGGCTTGGATGGTCCCCGAACTTTGCCTTGTATGTACTATACATGCGTGCCACTTCTGACTGCTCTAGCTGAAGAATCTCAGCATCCAGCGTTGGGTCGATCACGCTGCTCAGTTTCAGCTTCCTCGTGGGAGAGGTTGGTGTTGAAGTACTTGGCAAAGGTGAGACTCCGATGGACCCTACTGGCGGTGCGGTTGACGATCCAACGTGATCTGGATTTGCACCAAGCCGAAGTAAAGTCACCCTTCGGAATATCTCGATTCGAGAAGCCTCAACTGGGGTGAGGTCTCTTTCACTGGTGGTTGTGCCCGATGAAGTATCGATCTTTAACCCTGCCACCACGTTGTCCCAGACCGTCCGGTTGATGAAGGCAATGTCCCGCAGTTTTGAGGGCTTGCCCAGAGCATCCATCAAATGTTCGTGGACTTCTCCAGTTGTGCCGGCCCAGTCTGCAACATGCTGAAGGGTGGCCATATTATTGAGCTCTGCGTCGGTGGGGTCCATGGCTGATCACAGGACCTTCTCTCAACGGGGTGAGCTCCTGGTCGAATTGGATCTGCCTCCTGGCAGATGCTTTTGGGCTTGCCACCGCAAGCCTTGCCCTTCGTAGGGTTGTAGGTGTGCCCTGCTCGGTGTTCCGCAAAGAGTAGTTGCGGTAGTTGGAGAAGGCAAGGCCTATGAGGCGGCGACGAGACACAAACCTTATGGCCTTCCTGGTGAGGATGGCCCAAGGTGTGTCACCCACTTGGAAGCGAGCTAGTGGGTTGACCACTTTCCACACGGCCCAGATGGAGTGGGCTTTCCACCCGATCCAAACACCCACCACCAGGACGCTCACGAGCACCCCGATGATGAGTGACCAGATGCCCAGATGGTTTCCCACCTGAGGGCCTGGCACCAGATCGAAGGTGGCCTCTCCCCACCTAACCAAATGGGCCATAAACGGAAAGGATCAAACCCCACAGGCTCTTGAGCCAAAATGGCCCAAACGAGCTGCGGATGGTAAGTCCCTCCCACAACTCCCCTTCTGATTATGTCTATTGTTACTTTCACAATTTCTTTGTTACACACCATCCACCGCCAGTTTGTGGGGGGGGCGAACACATCACGCCTTCAATCGCGGTCTCCGCGTCTGGTCTCCAATCGAGTGGCGCAGATCTTCATCCAAGTAGGCGGTCTCGAAGATTCCTCGGGCCCGATCACCCAGCAGGGCAAAGGGCACCTGAGCAGATAGCTTCGGGGTGGCAAAGCACATCGCCACTGTTGGGCTTCAAGAGCTGTGGAAATCGGGTCGAACCCAAAGGAAGTCCATGGCAAAATGATTGCTCTGGAAGATTCTGGAAGATGTTTTTCGGGATGTTGAGAGCATTCAAATACCTCCAAGATGTCCTCCCTCTAAATCCGAGCCACCTCCTAGACTGACATCACCTTCATCCCACCTCCAAAGAAATTGCTCAAGCAGCGAACTCAGCGGCGAAGGTACAACTCATATCAACTCATAGCTTGCCAAGGCACAGGATAAGGCAAACGAATGGGTTTGGGCAGATCCTCTTGAGACCATGGGGGCCTCTTCACAATGATCTGCCCGCCCGTCCACTGAAAGCGCACCTCGGCCATCGAGAGAGAGAGGGAGAGATCAACCAACACCATACCGTCGCAACACTGGAGTTTCTGAGAGGGTCTTGTAACCTATCATTGCTGTTTGTTTTCCCCTGGCAAGTGTGGTCAAAAACGTCAAGTGGAGGAAGGCATTCCAGCATTCCTAGTCCGTTCTGCTTTACTTTTGGCCAGTGGCGTCTGCATCTTGCGAAGTCAGGTCAGCTTCCAGGCAAATGATGCCCGCAGGGGTGGCATCAATGACATTGTACCAGCGCTTTGGCGAGACGGACCTCGGCAGCCCGGACGCGGTAGCCGAGGTCCCAAGCGTCCTTGTGGCAATACATCCTTCTTAGAATGTAGGGGGCGTGAAATGTCGAACTTGCCACACCACTCCGGGCAAAATGCACATTAAAAAAAACTGCGCGGCCAAGTGGCAAGTCGAGGACCTGGTAGACCTTCTGAACAGCATTGTTCGTAAAGGCTGCAGCCTGTACAGGCGAAGGTCCTTTGCCAAAGACATACTCCTGGGGGCGAAGAGGTCCCGACGCACCTACTTACCGTCGCGTGTGCGGCGCGTTGGTTCGGAGATGGGCGGAGTCCCGGCCGTTCAGAACACGGTGGACTGGATACGTGGAGCGCGGTGGACTTCTTGGAGGTGTTGAACCAAACAGAGGCAAAGCTGACGTGGTGTCCTCAGTTCCGGGACAAGGCCACCCACAAAAGGGAATCTTTTGCAGTTCAATCCAGTGCTGGCTGACTGGCTTAATCACCGTTCAATCCAGTGCTGGCGTTCACAATGCCCACCGCTTTTGGATGCCGTTGCTCACAATGTGTCATGGCCTTGTGTTTAGGGGAGGCACTGGGGGCGACTGGTCGGAAAAAATAAAATACATAGCGGCCATAGCAGCACACGGGGACTGCAATCTCCACAATAAATCTGCTGATGAAGGGCTGTATTTTTCAATTCGGACACGGTTTTCTATCCAAGACCCTCAAGTTCAAACACGCCAACAAACAAACCAACCCACCAGTCGCACTCCAAACCTTGCCGGGAAAAAGTCTCCTGCCAGCTTTTGAGGCTGAAGAGGTTGGCTGCAGCCTGTCCTGGTGTGAAGGTGCTGAGCAACTGCCTCAGTGTTAGGTCGTGTGCCACTCGCGCACCACTCACAGGCAGGGGAACGAAAAATTTCACGGCAAGTGGTCTGCTTCAGAAGGCCTCCGGAAGTTCCATGGCCTCAAAAACTGGGAAACATGCGTGCGCCAACGAGAGTGGCAGTGGTTTCAGTGGATCTTTTTGGGCCTGTCTGGTGTATGGTGCGCATCAGGGTTCCCCAACACGAGGAAGGATGCAGTACGTGTCCTGAACGCATCATGACTCACATAACGCATTTATACCCCGCCGAAGGCGTTCAACACAAAAACCACTGGCGTTCATTGTGTGGCGATCATGTGACCAAACCATATCACACGCTTGCATAATGAAACCAACGGCCTGGAAGAACTCTGGTTTCCACCATTCGATGCTGTTTTTTCGATACCAGCCCTGCCACCCACCGACCCTCTGCAGTGGAGCCACCATCGACCCTCCAAAAGCCGTTGTGCTTCCTCTAGGCTACCCGGCATGCTGAGACGCATCAGCGGAGTGTATGTATAATGTATGAATTATTGACTGCACGATATGTCCGTATGTTTAAAACGATGTGTACAGTATGTATAGATATATATATACTTCCCATTGACCCTGAGTCATCCAAAAGAATGAAAACACCAAAAATTTCGAGATCCGTGGACCCCCGTGGGTTTTCTCACGCACATCTTGGAGAACAACACTGCATGTAGTGGTTGTTCAAGAAACGTCCCAATCCTGCAGTCCTGATCTGGCACTTTGGAGCTCTCATACGTTTCCTCGGAAAGTTCGCGTTGAAGGGTTGCGCCGGCTGAACATAAGAAAATGTACACACATCCCACATAACATGTTCACTTTGTGCAGCTATGTGCAAATCGATCTTTCGAGTTACATCCCCTTAACGCTCATAAATCAATATCCCTAGCCCATTTGCAGCCATGAGATGTTGAATTACCGGCCACCCTGCCTTCCACCACAGGAGGCAAACCCACGGTGAAAACCCTCCGAAAGCCTGCATGTTTGGAGTATCGTCCCGTATCATCCCTTCGTCCTCCCTCTTGGCAGGTCTCAATGAGTGCTTGGACCAGGTCTTCCACACGTTGTGCTGCTTCCACCCTGCTGGCATCCCAGTTTTCACCAGCCAAGATCTCCAGCAGTTCGCTTTTCCTGGGCCGGGGGCCAGGGAGCTGGAAAACCGGCAAGAAATGCCAAAGCCATGTTTAACGTGGCACCTTGAACCATAAACGGCATCATACACGTCAACCAAAAAAATATATCACAACGTTCAACATACAGTTTCAACGAAATAATCTGTAAAAGCATCCTGTTTTTGGCTTCTGTTGTAGGAACCCACGTTCCCCTTGCTATTTAGTGTCAATTCTGCTGTGTTGGCCCCTCCGGCTGCACACGTTACAACAGTTCGCGTGCGCTGCGCGCGCTGCGGTTTGCATCGCCAGGCGTGGCATGCACTGGCAGCGGCGCTGCCAGCACCTGATCACAGACTGCGCTCAACACCAAAGACTCTAGCAACCTTGTTGCCTATCCGTTTTCCAACCCCCTGCCTGCCATCACGGCCCAGCCCAAACCACTCTGCTTCGGGCCTGCGGGCTGGAGACCATGCAATTCTTTCAAACAAGTGGTCGGTGGCAAGCAAATTGGTTTGGTTCCTGTTTTTACTCGTGTTTCATTAACACAATTGCATATTGGGTGGCACACGGTTGATTGCGATTGAACCCAAACGTATCCAAACGTAGTTTGACACGCCGACCACAAAGAATCGCAATCGTCGTTGAAAAAGTCTGGACAACGTCAAACTCGACTCATGCTAGCACAAAACACAACAAAACACAACACTCAACTGCCAGAACCAAACAATCGATTCTGTTGTGGAAAACCGCCATGAAAACGAAATCGCGCCAGATTGAATTTTTCATCATCTTCATGATCCAACATGCACGTGTTTGTTTTGGAAAAATCCTGCCCATTGAATTGCCAGATGGTTGTGGCCACGACCTGACATAACAACACCACCCTCCGGTGAAACATCGCCCGGATGCCCCCCACCTCTTAAAGGCGCCTTTCGTTGAAACAGCGCCGGCGCTCGTCGCTGTGTCGGCACTGGGCCGAAGTCACGGCAGGCCACCGTTAAACCGCCAAGTTCCGACATGGCGGCAGGTGGAATCCCCATGGCGTCTGTGGCTGGTTTGGTGGTCAAATTCCGTCATGGCACCATGATATACGCTTGCAGCTTCCTGCTCAAGCAGTGGACGGTTGCATGACGCTGCATATGTCTTGTTTAATCGTTGGAAACGTCCATTCTGCTGAACCTGCTGCCCACAAGCATTCACACATCAACAGGTGGCCCCGTAACCACACGCGCGCGCACGCGCACGCGGAATGGATGCAGGACACCGCTCCACAACTGGTTGAAACTCATTTGCCATCAGTTTGTGTCGGAAACATCGGGGTACCACGTTTTTGACAGAATTTTTATGTGCGCCATCCACGCCTAGTGGCGCCGGTCCACTTCACACAGCGGCGGCCCAAGAAGTCGCCAGCCCGACCGCGGCATTATTTAGCACCTTGTTGAGGCCGTGCTGGCAAACCCGCCAACCTTGAACGCCCTCTCTAGCAAGCCGCGTTGGCAAACGCAAGGTCGTGGTCGATGCATCGACAACACTACATGACAAAAACACTACAGGAACGGTCCGATGTGGCAGTGGTCAAATGGTGGTGGCATGGCATCGTGGTGCACACATTCGTGGCAAACGCTCCACTTTGTGCACCCTGGAATGCACGCGCAAAGCATCTCGCGAACCCCGAGCGGACCTGCAAACTTGGTCGCGCGTGCAGGTTTCATCGCGTGTGTGGCACTTTGAAACATGTTTGTCACCCCCATGCCCAAAAGGCGACACCCGCCGCAGTATGCACAAACCCAGGCACGGGAGTTGGGCACGCACAGACCTGCACACTCTAGATGGCTGAGAACTTCGTTGGCTGCCACAAAAATGGGATCCAGAGCGTCAGGAACGGCTGTCCACTCCAATGTTTTGGGTTGTCTAGGGTGGCTTTGCTGACTCAACCCCCACAAAGCCACACACATGGAAGAGCGAATTGCGCCGCAGTTCAAGTACATGTCCTAGATTCCAACACTCCTCTTTCGTTCAGGCATGTATGGCACATCTTGATAGGTTGTCTCGTCATGAAATGCGGGCACCCTGCTGCAAAATGCAGCACTCGTCCGGAAGGTGTCATCCGCAGCCTGTGCATTTGCTCTTCGAGCCTTGAGTTTCGTTTTTCCGCAATCTCCCTGTCTTGAAGAAACTCGGCTAGGCGCTCTTTCATCTTCTCCATGTCTTGCTCGAGTTCTTCTATGTACGTTTCCTTCCGGAAAAGCTCATTTGCTGTTTGCTCAAGTTCTCGCTCGAGTCGAGCATTTGGCACTGACACTTGGGTCTCCTGGTCAACCCTTTCCACTTGCACATTCAGGTCGACCTTCTTGACCCACTTCATGGCCTTCGTGATCTCCTGGATGAAGGCCTTCGTGTCATCTAGGAACTCATGGATGTAGTCCCTGATCCATCTGATCAGGCTCAAGGCCCCGATGCAAGCGAGTGTGCATAGCATCACCCCGATCCGTAGATCCTTGCTCTTTCCGAACTTTTTCATTCCTTGCTTCATTTGATGCTGCTCTTCGATCTCCCGGAACTCCTGCTCACCTACGCGATCACCCACTGCGTCCACCATGTGCAGCATGAACTGTAGGCCTCTCAACCTCTTCTTCGGCAGGTTCTTGGTGCCAATGTCGGCACTGTTGAGGTCTGTTGGGATTGCACCACTGTCAGGACTTTTTCTCGCTCTTTCTGCTGCATCCACAACATTGAGGCATCTAAGTGCCTGACTCTGCCGATGCCTTGCCTTTGGGTCATCCCTGGCCGCTGAGCTGTCCGACCTCGCTTTCATCTGACATTCTCCTCCTGTGATCTTGTTCCACAGGTGTCTCACCAACATGCCCTCCGAGCAGCCTGCAACCAATGCCATGAATTCGCCCTCCCTGACGAGAGGGCGATGGCTTTCTGGCTTCTGACTTTGCTGTCGATGAGGTTGCCATCGATGAATACCTGCATGGGTCGTTGACTTGTGGTCGTTCTTGTTCCCTGCATGGTCTGAGTCAGTGACGACCTCGACTAGATGTTGCTCTGCATCTTCCACCTCCTCAACCTCTCTGAAGTCCATCATCGATTGGCCCTTCCTTCTTTCTTCAAGTCTCACTCCATATCCACCTGTTCCAAAGAGGTAGGAGCAGGTGTGCCAGGCATTCTTCAAAGCATTCTTTGTGGGCTTTGCCATGTGGCGTGCTAGACACTGAATGGCATACTGTGCGTCAGGTCGTTCTCCACCCATATACATCAATCGCCCCACGATGCTTCTGCACTTCGTGATCTCAGCTCCTTCTAGGATTGCAGAGTCGTCTTTCTTCGTGAAGTTGGCATCCAGAAGAGTTTTCCTGTAAAATCTGGAGTATATGTCAACATCTTTCTCGAAACTGTCATACTGTTTCCTGTCGCACCTGATGTCACGGTGCCTCATGCCCAAATTGAATTGCCTCTTCAAGTAAAAGAACCTGTCACCTTGTCCAAATGGGCCTTTCTCTTCCACGTTCCATTGCTTCTCCTCCTTGAAGTACTGGATCAGTTCCCTCACTTTGTCATCTCGTCCAACTATGAACACATCGTCCACATGGACAGTGAGGTACAGGAGGTTGTTCATCAGCATCAACGTGGGTTGCATCAAATCTTGCTGCATTCCAAAGTCTCTGCACGCAGATGCAAATAGGCCAAACCATTGTGATGCAGCTGTTCTCTGGCCTGGAAGGCATCTGAGTAGTTTGTAGATGCGATCCTCGATTTGGACATAGGCTTTCTCTGTAGCCGGTTGTGCTGCCATCAAAAAGGCGTCTTTGATGTCCAAAGTGACCACCACGAACTCGCTCCTCACGTTCAGCAAATAGTGCATCAACATTTTCGGCAGCATCATCATGGATGTAGGAGCGAACGTGGCCTCCAGATCTATGCTGTTTCTGAATTGTCTGGCCACTAGTCGTGCTCTGCGGAACCATCCCCCTTTTTCCAAGCAGTGTTTCCAGCACATCACCATCTTTGTGCTGATGATGTAGCCGTCATTCTGCTCGACTTCGCCTTTACCACTGCAGGCATCTCTAGCATCCTCTGAATCTCTGTGTTGCATGCCTCCTTGTCAAGCAGCTCGAGTTCATCCTCTGTCACCTCTGGGGGATCATCACCTTCTTCTCCTCCGTATCCCATCTGTTGTTCTTCGAACACTTCATCTGGCATCAGCTCCATGTCCACATCCTCATCTCCATGTGGTTCCACTCTAATTGCTCCCACTCCCGCATAGTGCGGAGGATACAGATGGCCTGTATTGTGCGATGGGGACATTCTTGGTGATCCTTCAGCCTCTGTCCTCATTCCATCACCTTTTGGTTGAGGTCCTCCTTCAACTCGGCCTTTCTTCTCCTCGTTCTCCGCAGCTGCCTCCTCTCCTTGTCTCTTCTCTGCATGCTTTCTCGGAGAGTCGGACGCATCGAGTTTCTTGTTCTCTCGTTTGCCTTCACTCTTCTCCTCCTCAGACAGCTGTCTCTTCATTGCAGCCTTTGTCGGTGTCTTTGGAGCCTCAATTGTTGCTGGTCCAGTTGTTGTCAAAGTAATCCCTGGCGTCATCGGCTGGCATCCTGGGGCAGGTGTGACAACCCCAGTAACTCTTGGACTCTTGGGCAATGGCTGTCAGTTCCTCCTCACTGGCGGCCATCTCCAATGTAGGCTGTCGGTACCTCTGTGCTTGTCCGGCATGCTTCATCAGAATACCCTGTGCTGAATAGTTCCATGGCAGTCCCTTTGCAGTGAGGATCTCCGGGCCGCTGAAGCTGCCCTCCGGTGACAATCTTCGAACAGTCCTTGACTCATAGGCTCCTGTTGTGGAAAGCAACACGTGGTTGTCGTTCCATGGACGCTTTGTCACCCAGACGCCCTTCTCAAACACTGCACTGCCCTTGTTCTTGACTGCACGTTTGAACAGCACACTCTCACCGAATAGAGCCAACTTTCCACGGTAGGGGTGTCCTGTAGCCAGTTCATAACTTGTCCTGCTAACCCCTTCCAACACCCTGAATCTGTTGATCAGGAATGAAGCATGTTTGAATGACCACGGGTAGATGTCAAAGCTACCCTCGATGTTGATGCGGGCCTTGTCTTCCGCATGCCATCGTACAACACAGTTTGCCATCTTCCTGATTGTTTGCACTGCCCGCTCAACCTGGCCATTTGAGGCGTGTTGCCCAGCTCCCGTGAATCGGATCTCTGTTTTCATGCCAAGCACATTCCTGACCTGTTGCACAAACCTGAGTATTTGTCTGGTTGCCCTCTTGCTGTCAGCCTGTATGATGCAT